CCCTCTACAGTAGTCCCTTTACCTACCCCCTATTACATCAGTCCTTACTACACCCACCTCTCCGTAGACCTTACTCACCCCATACAGTCTCATACCTCACCCCCCTATCTGAAGTCTTACCATCCTCCCCTTCTCCGTAGTCTTACAACACCCTCCCTCAAAAACATCACTCCATTCAAATTATACTTTTTCTAACCGCGCTATTTTCATACACCGATGCACACCAAAGAGCTTTACAGTTTGGCTAAAAAAAAAATCCTGCCATGCCTCCCACGACGCAAATAGACCCTCCCAGACCAAAGCCAACACACCAACACCCACCCCCCCAACCCCCCACACGGCCCCAACACCCAACACGCACATAAAAACACTAAAACGATGATACAAAAAGTAGATTGGGGTTTCGATGCCACGGCTGAAGATAATCATCCCCAGGAGCCGTCAGCGAGAGAGAGAGCGCCCCCAAGCCAAAGGGGTCGACACAGGGCACCGAGGGCACCCATCAAAAGCTAATCTAAAAAGGTGTGTAATCTGAGCCTGGCTTTAAAAATATGAACGTTCTCTGCGACCCTGAGCTCCTACAGTAGTACAGTACAGTAGTCCTTACCCTCACCCCCCTCCTCTACAGTAGTCCTTACCCTCACCCCCCCCTCTACAGTAGTCCTTACCCTCACCCCCCCCCTCTACAGTAGTCCTTACCCTCACCCTCCCCTCTACAGTAGTCCTTACCCTCACCCTCCCCTCTACAGTAGTCCTTACCCCCTCACCCCCTCCTCTACAGTAGTCCTTACCCTCACCCCCCCCTCTACAGTAGTCCTTACCCTCACCCCCCCTCTACAGTAGTCAGTACCCTCACCCCCCTACAGTAGTACTTACCCTCACCCTCCTCTACAGTAGTCCTTACCCTCACCCCCTCCTCTACAGTAGTCCTTACCCTCACCCCCCCCTCTACAGTAGTCCTTACCCTCACCCCCCTACAGTAGTACTTACCCTCACCCCCTCTACAGTAGTCCTTACCCTCACCCCCCCTCCACAGTAGTCCTTACCCTCACCCCCCCTCTACAGTAGTCCTTACCCTCACCCCCTCCTCTACAGTAGTCCTTACCCTCACCCCCTCCTCTACAGTAGTCCTTACCCTCACCCCCCCCTCTACAGTAGTCCTTACCCTCACCCCTCCTCTACAGTAGTCCTTACCCTCACCCCCTCCTCTACAGTAGTCCTTACCCTCACTCCCCCCCATCCACAGTAGTCCTTACCCTCACCCCCCCCCCTCTACAGTAGTCCTTACCCTCACCCCCCCCTACAGTAGTCCTTACCCTCACCCCCCCCCTCTACAGTAGTCCTTACCCTCACCCCCCCCTCCACAGTAGTCCTTAACCTCACCCTCCCCTCCACAGTAGTCCTTACCCTCACCCCCCCCCCTCTACAGTAGTCCTTACCCTCACCCCCCCCTCCACAGTAGTCCTTAACCTCACGGCCCCCCCTCCACAGTAGTCTCCTTACCCTCACCCCCCCCCCCTCTACAGTAGTCCTTACCCTCACCCCCCCCCTCTACAGTAGTCCTTACCCTCACCCCCCCTCTACAGTAGTCCTTACCCTCACCCCCCCCCCCCCACAGTAGTCCTTACCCTCACGGCCCCCACCAGGCGGATGTAGTCACAAAGCAGCTCCCCCAGGACAAAGAAGTCGTTGGCGGCCTGCTCCTGGTGCAGCGCCTCCATCTTGTCCTCGACCTCGGCGAGCTGAGACAGCGCCCGCGACAGCGCCGTGTTGTCCTCAGAGTTCCCCAACATCGCCATGCTCTTAGCAAACAGCGCCGTGTTCATGCAGAGCTCTGTGGGGGAGAGGGGCGGAGAGCTTAGAGGGCAGGGCTTATAGAGGGGTGAGGCTTAGAGGGGCGGAGCTTACAGGGGCGGAGATTATGCAGGGGTGGATCTTAGAGAGGGGCGGAGCTTACAAAGGACTTACTACAAACCCCAATTGTGGTAAATTATAATAAACATTCATATGTATATGTGTGTGTGTGGTGGTGATGTAACTGTTAGAAGAATAAAGGATCTCATGTTACACTGTGGTTGTGGGTTGTGGGATAATGATTGACAGGCCTCTCCTCTCATATAAACCTGTAAGTGATGGATGTGGATCTGACCTTTGCGGTGATTGACCAGAGAGTCCACTACAGCACTGAGCTTCCTCAGCTGCTGCTCCTCGTTCTCCACCTCCTGGAACTTGTCTTCAAACCACTGAGAGCAACACAACCAGAGAGAACAGTGTCAAATCTCTTCTTGTGCTTAAGCCTCAGCCTGCTGTAAACATACTGTTTAAAGAATGCAGTATGTGCAGCTTTTACATCAATTACCCTTCTATAATGCAATGCATAATATAAAATGAAAGAAATAAGCAAGAATGTGTGTGAGTGTGTGTAGATGGTCCTCACGGTGTCAGCCTCGTTCATCTTGTTGACTGTGCGTCTTCCTGTGTGTGTGTGTTTATGTATATATGTGGTCCTCACGGTGTCGGCCTCGTTCATCTTGATGGTCATCTTGTTGACTGCGTCTGAAGCTTTGTTGATCATTTTGAGGAATCCTGCTCCACTGAGGGCCTGAGTGTTCACGGCTCTGGGCAGCTGCACAAAAACACATTTAAAAATATTACAAACTCAGGGACCTCCAGAACCCGACTAATCAGGATTGGACAGAATAGGTGATTGGACTAATTAACTTCCTACAAGGATATTAAAAGGATTCTGTATTAGTATTTGGACAAAGTGTGTATGTGACAATTCCCAGGCTGTATATTTCTTCAGCCCAGTCTCTGCATTTACAAGTGCTACACTGCACTCACTCTTTCATAAACCTCCATCAGGCTCATGTCTTAAGAATAAATTAAACTTATTCTCCATCACTGACAGCTGTTTACTGAGCTGATCTTCTCCTACAGTTCTCAATGTCACGTTTATCCACTGACATGTGTTGCCCCGTTATCTGCCACACATTATGGTGCTCTTTTAAATCACTTCTAAAACCACACTTTACTGGAGTGGCCTTCATATAACCGTTTCACACTTGTTTCTTGAATTATATGTAACACATTGTAAAACTGCTCAAATAAAACTACGACTAAAACCAACTCTTATATGCCGTCTTTAAGATTTGTCTAGAGATATCTCACGTGACGTCACGATGCCTCGAACTCGCGGGGCATCCGCCATACTGGAGGACAAGCAAACGCTGTATGATAGTGGCGTGCACCCGGGACCGCATAAACATGTTCAACATTTTTGCCGTTTTTGGCTGCAGCAAAAGGAGAGACAGGGAAAATAAGTTGTGTTACCGACTGCCAGCCGTCCTTACTTCACACGGCTCAAAAACAGAAGAAATCTCAAAGAAACGAGAGAGAAATGGCACAACCATACGCAACAACAAAAAACTAATAGCCCCCAGAGCGCCCGAATATGCTCGGATCATTTCATTTCTGCTAAGTGAAATCAATTTGATGGCGGATTTAGTGTTATTCCGAAACAAACAGAAGTTTAAGGATAAAACATATCTGTCTGACTGCAACGTGGGGTTGCTCCATAGACTGTAGCTTAGCTTGTAGCATAGCTGTTATATATTTGGTCTCACACAGGACCTCACCCGGTTCACAGGGTATCTGACTTACCGAAGGCCAGCAGACATGTGAACGACTGAGCCGTGCTCCAGGGTGCCCCGTACTAGTATTTATTAATAAAATATACGGCTCCTCACAGTAGACGCAGAAAGCTCCATTGATTTGAATGTAATCTCATTATTTCCACTGCAGTGTAGCCACACATAGATCCATGGTGTAACAATAAACACATTAAATGTTAATCAGAGAATACATTATACATATACATTCTTAATACACGTGCACAGAGGTTTTCAGATTTTTCTGTTCACGTTTTCATGAAAAAACACTGTTTTAATGCGACAATATGCGACCGCGGTAAACCTGGACGTAACGATAAACATTAATAATACATTTTAGGATGCATTTCCAGAGGATCTGGTTCATGAATTTAGGTTGAGTATATATTTGGGTCACTAACTGCTGAAGTTTCAAATTCTCTGTTCAGTTTTCATGTAGTTCGAGAGAGTTCTAGTTTTGAACGTCCAGTTATAGATAGCTAGCAGGGCTGTTACTCGCCGAGGTTGTCCTCCAGTATGGCTGCCGTGGCTGCTAGTCACGTGACCGTAGGATCCCTCTATAGGATTGTATTAATATTCATACTTCAGACAACAAGTGTGTGTGTCATAGAGAAAGACACATTCTTCCATTGGTCCTCAGAACATTTGAACTGGACCAATCAGGATCCAGCAGAGACTCACCTCTTCTCTCTCCAGGAACTCTCTCACATCAGGGTCCTGCAGCAGCGTGGGGTGGCTCACTATTCTCTGGAGGTACCTAAAAAACAGACAGAGATTGAGGACACACAGCAGCAGTGTCACGGTAAGTTTATTGGCGTAGTCTCTGGAGTCTGCTCCCATCTCTGTGTGGAGTGAGAGACAAGTGCCCAAAAATAATAACAATTGTAAACCGCTTTGTGACTCTGGTCTGTGAAAGGCGCTGTATAAATAAAGATTACTTACTTACTTAAACTACAAAGAAGTATCTATTCATGAACTCCATGTGGCGTATTGTTTGAGGATTGTATTGAGGAGACCCAGATGGGAAACATTTAAGTCGGCTCAATGAGAGTCAGAACATTATAATCATAAGTCTGAAGTGCCTCGCGGTCAGCTGCGTCTGAACTGTGCTATACAGATAAACCTGGCTAAACCATAGACGCCATAGTAAGTGTAAAGTCTTGTACCTCTCCAGAGCTGCTCTCCTCCTCTCCACAAACTCCACAGACGACGGATCGTCCATCCCCACCTTCACCTTGGTCATTCCTATAGGACACAGTTAGGTTAGCTCCCCTGGCTGTTATAGCTCCCCTGGCTGTTATAGCTCCCTGGCTGTTATAGCTCCCCTGGCTGTTATAGCTCCCCTGGCTGTTATAGCTCCCCTGGCTGTTATAGCTCCCCTGACTGTTATAGCTCCCCTGGCTGTTATAGCTCCCCTGGCTGTTATAGCTCCCCTGGCTGTTATAGCTCCCCTGGCTGTTATAGCTCCCCTGGCTGTTATAGCTCCCCTGGCTGTTATAGCTCCCCTGGCTGTTATAGCTCCCCTGGCTGTTATAGCTCCCCTGGCTGTTATAGCTCCCCTGGCTGTTATAGCTCCCGTGGCTGTTATAGCTCCCGTGGCTGTTACAGCTCCCCTGGCTGTTATAGCTCCCCTGGCTGTTATAGCTCCCGTGGCTGTTATAGCTCCCCTGGCTGTTATAGCTCCCCTGGCTGTTATAGCTCCCGTTATAGCTCCCGTGGCTGTTACAGCTCCCCTGGCTCCGTGGGTGTTATAGCTCCCGTGCCGTGGCTGTTATAGCTCCCCTGGCTGTTATACAGTGCCTTGCGAAAGTATTCAGCCCCCTTGAACCTTTCGCCACATTTCAGGCTTCAAACATAAAGATATAAAAATTTAATTTTTTGTCATGAATCAACAAGTGGGACACAATCGTGAGGTGGAACGAAATTTATTGGATAATTTATACTTTTTTAACAAATAAAAAACTGAAAAGTGGGGCGTGCAATATTATTCGGCCCCTTGCGCTAATACTTTGTAGCGCCACCTTTTGCTGCAATTACAGCTGCAAGTCGCTTGGGGTATGTCTCTATCAGTTTTGCACATCAAGAGACTGGAATTCTTTGCCATTCTTCCTTGCAAAACAGCTCGAGCTCAGTGAGGTTGGATGGAGAGCGTTTGTGAACAGCAGTCTTCAGCTCTTTCCACAGATTCTCGATTGGATTCAGGTCTGGACTTTGACTTGGCCATTCTAACACCTGGATACGTCTATTTGTGAACCATTCCATTGTAGATTTGGCTTTATGTTTTGGATCATTGTCCTGTTGGAAGATAAATCTCCGTCCCAGTCTCAGGTCTTTTGCAGACTCCAACAGGTTTTCTTCCAGAATGGTCCTGTATTTGGCTCCATCCACCTTCCCATCAATTTTATCCATCTTCCCTGTCCCTGCTGAAGAAAAGCAGGCCCAAAGCATGATGCTGCCACCACCATGTTTGACAGTGAGGATGGTGTGTTCAGGGTGATGAGCTGTGTTGCTTTTACGCCAAACATATCGTTTTGCATTGGGGCCAAAAAGTTCGATTTTGGTTTCATCTGACCAGAGCACCTTCTTCCACATGTTTGGTGTGTCTCCCAGGTGGCTTGTGGCAAACTTTAAATAAGACTTTTTATGGATATCTTTGAAAAATGGTTTTCTTCTTGCCACTCTTCCATAAAGGCCAGATTTGTGCAGTGCACGACTGATTGTTGTCCTATGGACAGACTCTCCCACCTCAGCTGTAGTTATCTGCAGTTCATCCAGAGTGATCATGGGCCTCTTGGCTGCATCTCTGATCAGTCTTCTCCATGTTTGAGATGAAAGTTTGGAGGGACGGCCGGGTCTTGGTAGATTTGCAGTGGTCTGATACTCCTTCCATTTCAATATAATTGCTTGCACAGTGCTCCTTGAGATGTTTAAAGCTTAGGAAATGTTTTTGTATCCAAATCCGGCTTTAAACTTCTCCACAACAGTATCTCGGACCTGCCTGGTGTGTTCCTTTGTCTTCATGGTTCTCTCTGCGCTTTAAACAGAACCCTGAGACTATCAAAGAGCAGGTGCATTTATACGGAGACTTGATTACACACAGGTGCATTCTATTTATCATCATCAGTCATTTAGGACAACATTGGATCATTCAAAGATCCTCACTGAACTTCTGGACTGAGTTTGCTGCACTGAAAGTAAAGGGGCCGAATAATATTGCACGCCCCACTTTTCAGTTTTTTATTTGTTAAAAAAGTTTAAATTATCCAATAAATTTTGTTCCACTTCACGATTGTGTCCCACTTGTTGTTGATTCATGACAAAAAAATAAAATTGTATATCTTTATGTTTGAAGCCTGAAATGTGGCGAAATGTTGAAAGGTTCAAGGGGGCGAATACTTTCGCAAGGCACTGTAGCTCCCCTGGCTGTTATAGCTCCCGTGGCTGTTATAGCTCCCCTGGCTGTTATAGCTCCCCTGACTGTTATAGCTCCCCTTGGTTGTTATAGCTCCCCTGACTGTTATAGCTCCCCTGGCTGTTATAGCTCCCCTGATTGTTATAGCTCCCCTGGCTGTTATAGCTCCCCTGGCTGTTATAGCTCCCTGGGTGTTATAGCTCCCTGGGTGTTATAGCACTGGCTGTTAAGCTCCCCCCCTAAAGCAACACACTATGAAACAAATGCACTAACACTTCCATCTAGTGGCAGAAAATGGGAATTACACTCTGCAGGAGACTAGACTGAAAACAGACAATATTTTGGTTTTGAATGACAGAAAACAGCTCTGTCCACAGTGTACACAATATCTGAGGATTAAAAAGGATCATATGGATGGATGGACTGGAGGAGGAGTGTGATTGGACAGATTTGAGGCAGAAGTTATCATCTGGATGAGACTAAAAACAATGTCAGAGATTCTTTGCCTTTCGCAGTAAAACCACAGTGGAATACATGAGTGAGAGTCCCCAAAGTGCAGTGAAAATGAGCTAGTATAGTATATAGTAATTATTTGTGTATCTTATAAATGTATGCTGATTTTACAATACCTTCCTCTATTCTCCATCTCTCTTCTTTTAACTGTTTGCACCAAGAGCCAAAGAAATGTCCTAGTCTGACTTCCTTTTACCGTTTTTTCCCCATTATTCATTGTTATTTTTATTGTGGAAAACTGTGCAAGCTCAAGTGGAGGAGTTCAAGTATCTCGGGGTCTTGTTCACGAGTGAGGGAAGAATGGAGCGTGAGATTGACAGGCGGATCGGTGCAGCGTGCGCAGTGATGCGGTCGCTGTATCGGACCGTTGTGGTGAAGAGGGAGCTGAGCCGAAAGGCAAAGCTTTCGCTTTACCGGTCAATCTTCGTTCCCTCCCTCACCGATGGTCATGAACTTTGGATAAATGAGCTTCCTCCGCAGAGTGGCTGGGCGCTCCCTTAGAGATAGGGTGAGGAGCTCAGTCACACGGGAGGAGCTCGGAGTAGAGCCGCTGCTTCTCCACGTCGAGAGGAACCAGTTGAGGTGGCTCGGGCATCTGTTCCGGATGCCTCCTGGACGCCTCCCTGGGGAGGTGTTCCGGGCACGTCCCACCGGGAGGAGGCCCCGGGGAAGACCTAGGACACGCTGGAGGGACTATGTCTCTCAGCTGGCCTGGGAACGCCTTGGGGTCCCCCCGGACGAGCTGGAGGAAGTGTGTGTGGATAGGGAAGTCTGGGCGTCTCTGCTTAGACTGCTGCCCCCGCGACCCGGCAACAGATAAAGCGGAAGAAAATGGATGGATGGATGGACTGTGCAAGCTACTGTGACAACGCAATGTCCCTGTGGATCAATGAAGTCCGTCTAAGTCTATTAGGAGCACATTAAAGCCCTTCATTTCAACAGTGCACTTTATAATCCACTTTATATATGAAGATAACGCCATCATTTGATAATGCGTCTTATTAGTGCGAAAAACACGGTCCTTACATGGAAATAAAAAAAGATTGATTGTAAAAGTGTGAGGTACAGACCCATGACGCTCTTCTCGGGCGGGGGGGGGATGATGCAGCCCTGCAGACACTGTTTCACCGACAGCTTCTCGTACAGACCCAGGAAGTCACTGAAGCGCCGCCTCACGGAGAAGGTCTGACTCCTGAACATGGCCAGGGACGTCTACGGAGCACACGCTGGTTACAAACATCCAGTGATGGGAATAACGGCGTTACTTTTTTCAGTAACGAGTAATCTAATTACTTTGACTGTAACTATAACGCCGTTATCATTAACATCCCGTTACTGCGCGTTACTCAAGACGCACAATGAACTTCTCTTTTTACTTCATGTAGGACTCGTGTTGTCATGAGAGAAGGATGAGAAAACCTCTCAGATATTATTGGCTGATGTAAAACATTTCCTTTACAGTCTACATGTCTGCAGTTGAGAGGATGGTCATAAAGTGTGTTTTTGAAACAAATGGGTCTTAATCACACTCAACCACGGCTTGTATCACCGTGAGGCCTCAGAGGTTTATATATATATATATATATATATAATATATACAGTCTATGCTTGTATCACCGTGAGGCCTCAGAGGAGCTCATGTGAGCGCAGAAGGCTGCATACAATTCCATGGATAAGCTCCTTTCTCTTCCTGGTTTATCTGCTAAGGACAGCAGCAGGTTTGGCTAACATACATATAACACATTTTAAGATCATTTAAAATGCACTTAGGGTAATTTTTCAATGACTATAGGAATGATAAGAAAGAGGTGAAGTGTAAGACGGTTGGTTTTAGAAATTGGATGCAGCCGGCTGCAGCAAAACAGAGGTTTTTGGCAAAACGCGTTTTGTTTTACTTTTTAAAACTCATTGGACTCATTTCCAAACGGAGGATTACATATCTACGCTCAAACTATTATCTGGACTTAAACATGGAACTGGTCTGAACCGAAGTGGACTGTGCAGGTCATTTATAAGGTAAGACCCATAACTCATAGTTTTGCGTTTTGTTTGAACAAACAATGCATGAAACATATTCTGCTGTAGCCAAACAAACTGTCCAATTGATTTATATGATATATATATATATATATGATATATATGTTCATCTGATTGGGCTGAAGTCAGTGCTTCACCGGTGTTTCCACATTCACAGTGGCGGGTGTTGGTGTTTAGTGCTTACACAGAGACAGATGAAGAGTGAACAGGACTTCAGCAGAAAAACAGACTTTTCTAGATGGAAATATTGGCACTATTTCAGACTCACTGAGGTTAAAGGTTAAAGGTCAACATGTGCACGTCGAGTGCACATTATGTTCCAGAACAAAACGAAAAAGTAACGCAATAGTTACTTTTACTGGTAACTAGTTACTTTTACAGTGGAGTAACTCCTTCTCTTTATGATCAGTGTACATTCATTTATAAAATGGGCCTATGGTTGGTGGCTCAAATCCTGGCTGCCCCAAGTGCAGTCTGGTATGTTCTTGAGCAATGCACTTCACCCACATGTGTGGACATAGTGAGAGACTGCTTGGTGGTGGCCAATAGCACAGATTAGTAGCCTGGCATCCTCCAACCCAGCTGTGACACACTGTGTGGAATAAATGAATAAAGACTAGTGTGGCGTTTTGAGAAACTTGTCAACACAGGATTGAAAAGTACATTACAAGTTAAAGATATTATTACACCACCACCACCACCACACACTCCTACACCCATGGTCTCCACATTACTGATCATAAAGAGAACATGCCATAACATTTTTGTGCCCAACGTTGGCCTTTTGGGACAAGCAGACATTCATTACTATTGTGTTTTGTCAAATTTGTATGTAGAAGAGGGAGATTAAACAAAAAGAACAAATTGTTTTCTGGCATTTTATGTACATGCTTTTTTATGAATTTGTGTTATCTGAATGGCTCTGAAATGTAGACACTGAATAAGTTCAACACAAAACAAATATTGCAACAAATTCTCTTTTATTATAATCGTGAGAGAAAGGCTTCAGAGGAGAGCGCCAATCTCCATCTCTCTTGGAAAGCTTTCAGCCTCCCTGCTGCCTCCTCTGGTAAATGCCTCACCAGATCATTTGCAATCATTTTAAACTCACTGTCCATAAAGAACAATCACAGATTAGATTGTGCAGTGCACAGTGAAATATGTCCATCAATATTTAAATAATCTTACCATGGTTCATACTTTGGCCCCTTTATGAATTTTTCAATTGCCTCTTGCTGAGGCAGGTGAAATGCCTCGGCCAGAGTGTGAACTGTCACCTAGATAAGAGTAAAATGTGTTACATTCAACAACAACAGTTCACAAAACCAAATGCAGCCCTAAAAGGTGTTGTGTCCTGTTTAATATATTGTCAGTGACTTGCACTTATGACTTTATGGTCTCTGTACATCAACAATGTTGCAATGCAGAGTTTTTAGTACAGTGTACGTCCAGGAAACATGTACCATGACATGTTTATGTTTGAGGGGGGTTCAGTGTTTTATGCACACTTTCATTACAATAGTCCCTGTGCCAGCCTGGTGGCGCTCGGGCCTACTAATGTAAAACAAACATTATATAAATCATGCTATACTTCCGGTAAGAGCGTGTAGACCAATCAGAAAGGAAGGGGGAGGGAGCTTGGGTTGTTTTTTTTCAAATCAAGTACCTCTCTGTCTCTCTTTCTGACAAACTCTAGACAATCACTTTAAAGAACAAATTTACAATATTGCACAACACCTGGATTCGAAGTTAAAACATACCTCCATGACAAACAGATGCCCTTTCATGGGTTTGCACGTGTGTGAGCATTTGTGCTTCTCCGCCATGTTTAAAACAGGTTACACACGTGAGCGTGTTCCCCTGCTTCAGCACTGGAGCATGATTCCCATCACTGACAATAGTCGGATGCAACTGAAAGCAGACATAAACATCCATTTGTGCACACTCAGAAACACAAATATCTTGGAACATCATCCAATAACTATGGTCAGTGACTTCTGTAACTGTGATAGGAAACATCGTGAGCTACATCACATAATTGCCTAACTAATTCTCCACTGTTCTTGGAAAACATGTAAAGAGTTATGTTTTTCTCCTTATTACCATTTTAACGATGCAAAATGACTTGGGCAATATTATATTGTATATATTATACTATGTACCTATTATACTATGTACCTGACATGTCGATGGCACATGGACTCTTAGAAGAAACCCATACGAATTGCTTTCTCTGCAATGTATTAGTTCACTTCTTAAAAAACATTTCTAGTCAGGGTGATGTGCATTTATTCATTAATACACTGTAACTTGAGGGACGGCCTAAAAATAAATAAAACACGTTGTTGGTTGACACTTACTGTTTGCGTACGGTCTGCCATGTCTTCTCTTCAACGGATATACTTGCAGAAGTTCAAGTGGATTCAAAATTCATGTAGTAGGCGTGTCGGGTAGTGACGTCACTACCCGACACGCCTACTACTCGACACGCCTCCGTACTGCAAGCCGCAGACAGACCCTTCTCGTTTCCTTCGCTGCGCCCCAGAGCCTCCCTCAGTAGTGGAGCATGGAGGGTATTTTGGGAGAGGGGTTTAATCAAGAGAGGGCATTATTTTATTTTCTAACTTCAACAAAAATGATAAATAGACTGTAACATTGGTCCAAAGGCATGGAGTATAACACTCCGATTCAGTAGGTGGCAGTATACGGCAATATTGATTCTTAGCCCGCCATTAAAGAAACAGAAGCCTCCGTCAGTCTGCGCATGCGCCTCGCTCAGTCTTTGCCTAGCGTCTGAGGAGGTGGGTCCATGGATCTATTATAATAACTGGATAGGGTATTACAGCTTGTAGCTGAATAACTCATGTGCTCGGGGGATTCTCGCGGTACTGCAGACTAAACCAGACTAAATTCACGTGGGCTACCCAGAAATTTTCCCCATAGAACTCAATGCATATTAAAACAGCTCAACCTCAGCTGAAAGAGAACCTACAGCTTTCATAAAGGTCGGATTTTGTGGGGATTTTAGTGTCCCTTGTCATCCTGAACTTTTTTTCTTCTTAAATCCTTCGGTTTTGTTTAAATCCACACTTTAGTGCCACAAACTGCTCGTCTGGCTCTCCCTCTAACTCCCGCTCTGATGAACTGCTCTGATTGGTCAGAGCGCGGCCGAGCCCCTCTGTGCACGTGCGTGAGACCCGGTGTGAGACCCACACACGCGTGTTTAGCGCAACGCATTATGGGAGATAATACACTGTGTAACGAGGGGGGGCTATGGAGGTGTTTGGAAGCGGAATGAAATTTGACCGGAAAAATAACTATTGCAAAAAAAAGAGATTGAGTGACCGGGTGAGAGCACACTTGTCTACCAAGGAGGACAAAAAGGTCGTGGCAAGTTATTAAAATTTAATACAAGGAATAATTAAAACAGTAAAAAAATGCCCACAAATAAAAACACTGTTAAAAGTCCATTAAAAACAAGGTGGGCTAAAAAAAGGTTAACACTACTAAAAGGCACGGTCCACAGTCAGGTGCAGGCAGGTCCCACTCCCTCCTGGTCCAGGGCAGCACTCCAACCTGGGTCACACGCACGGGGCCACCTAGAATGCAAAGCATACGCCAGTACGGGTGTCCGAAACTATAAGGCCTTAGGCTACGATGGTGGAGTGTCGCTACAATACTTACACACAAGGCAGAGTTATCCTCTGCCCCTGCGTGTGTTCAGCGTCACAACACTCCTTCACTTAGTCTCGACTCCTCCCGTCTGGCTCTCGTCCTCCGCACGCTGAGACACCTACGCGGAAATCACTAGCGGCAGTCAAACGTTCTAAACAGTGATGTGCTCGATCTAACTTTATCCGACAAGTGTTACTATGTCCCCAAAAGGTACTCACACGGAAGGCAGAGTTCCCCTCTGCCTCTGCGTGTATATCGCCTCGCAACACTTGCGGTCTCAGCGTGCTGTAGTCCCGATGCGTGTGCCGTCCTGCTCGTCCTGCTTGTGGTGGGGTGCCGCGGCTTTCCTGCTCCTGCTCCTGCGTGCTTGTTGTCTCTCTGCCTCTCTGTCTCTGTCTCTGTCGTGGCTCCTGCGCTCCTTTTATTTGCTCCAATTTCCGCCAGACACAGGTGCTTTTGATTGTCCCGCAGCAGGGATTGGGGTAAAAGCCATGTGATAAAAACATGTGACTATAGCGAGTCCTTAAAACTATAAATAAGGTTAAAATACACTGCAAGATAAAAACACAAAACCACAGCACACGATAAAAACAAAAATAAATGCCAAGTCACTTGTTCTTATTCACATCCCCCCACATTCTAAGGTTGTCAGTCCCTGCAACATAGAAACAGTTCAGTCTCTGTACCGTGCCGGCGGTTGTCCAAGAGTAGAACGGTTTGACCTTCTAGGGGCCATGTCCATAACGTCCTGCTCAGCTGGTCTGAAAGGTAAAAAGCCATAAAACACGGGTAAAACAGGTCCTTGGTCCTGAGGCAGTTCCGCAGCTGCCTGTGGGAGTACAGCTGGAGGCAAGGTGCATAGTTTTAAAGAGTTTCTGTGCAAGGTTTGTTCACGGCCACCTCGCTCAGGGCGGACTCTGTACACCAGTCCTGTGCCTCCCATTTGCTCCACAACAATGTGAGGGTCTGGGGACCACCAAGGTGCCAGCTTACCTCTGCCTCGCCTATTTCTAAAGCGTACCAGTACCCTCTCACCAGGCAAGAAGGGCAAGGCTTTTGCTGACTTGTCGTACTGTTCCTTTTGCTGGGATGCTAAATTACCCGTTTTCTCTCGTGCAATGCGATAGGCTACAGACATTTTGTGTTGGTGGTCCTGGACCCACTCATTTACACTGTGACGGGGTTGTTGGGGGCTAACAGCTAGGTCTACATCAACAGGGAGACGCAAGTGACGACCGAACATTAAAAAGGACGGAGCATAACCAGTAGCGGAATGTACAGTATTATTATAAGCGTGCACAAGCTCTGGCAAGTACTGCGGCCAGCGATTCTGCTTCTCTTCCTCTAAAGTGCGCAACATTTTGAGCAAGGTCTGATTAAAACGTTCAGCGCTGCCATTGCCGGCCGGGTGATAAGGTGTAGTCCGACTCTTAGTAATACCATAAGTGTCGCACAGTTCTTTCATTAAGGACGACTCAAAATTGGCTCCTGGTCCGAGTGGAAACGGGCCGGGCAGCCAAAATTCTGAATGATCTTGGACCAGATCGCGTCAACCGTGGTTTTAGCCGTTTGGTCGCGGGTAGGTATTGCCCACGCAAAATGTGTAAACTTATCCGTGGCAACGAGGATGTTTTGGTGAACATCATTGGGGCGACCTAGGGACAAATAGTCCAAGGCGATTACTTCGAGAGGGTAGGAAGCGGGAATAGGGTTAAGAGGGGCTTTAGGCTCAACCCTACTTTTTTGCAGGCTACAGGCAACACAACCCAGATGGAAACGACGCACCTCCCCCTCCATATTAGGCCAATAGAAGTGCTGTCGGAGGCTAGCGAGGGTTTTGTCGACACCAGCATGGGCACCAGCGTCGTGGACCTTTCTCCAGACTTCTTCGCGCCTGGAGCTCGGCCAAACAGTCTGATAGTGCACTTCATAGGTCTTTTGATCGATTACCTTGCGGCACAATAGGTTACTCTTCACCTGAAGCTTTTTCCATTGCTGCAACAGCCGCTGTGCGTCGCTGGACAGGGCCTGGCGCTCTTGCTTTCCTGGCATTTTCTTCTTCTCCACGTAACTCTTCACACGCTGAATGTCGGCATCTGCTGCCTGGGCCTCTTCCCATTCACCTCCCTCTGGGACCAGCTCCACAGCTGTAGCAAACGTAGCAGGCTCCGGGTCTGGGTTACTTGAATGGGCTGTAGGGATTGGAAATCTGGAGAGGACGTCAGCGTTTACATTACTTTTACCGGACCGGTACTTGTTGTAATTGAAGGAGGCTAGTTGGGCGACCCAGCGTTGTTCACATGCGCCAAGCCGTGCGGTCTGTAGGTGAGCTAGAGGGTTATTGTCCGTAAACACAGTGAATTGCGCTCCTGTCAAATAGTCCTTGAACTTTTCCGTTATAGCCCACTTAAGTGCCAACAGTTCTAACTTGAACGAGCTGTAATTAGCATCGTTGCGCTCAGTGGGGTGCAGGCTCCTGCTTGCGTAAGCAATTACACGCTCCCGCCCTTGTTGCACCTGGGCAAGCACAGCTCCAAGTCCATCATGACTAGCATCAGTGTATACCACAAATGGCTGGTCAAAATTAGCATAAGCCAAAATAGGGGCCTTAGTCAATTCAGTCTTTAAGGTGTCAAAGGAAGCTTGGCATTCAGAGGTCCATTGCACTTTGTGCGCTTGAGACCTTTTGTCCGCAGGAACGCCAGCCAACAGGGAATTCAGGGGGCGTGCGATTTTAGCAAACCCAGACACAAACCTCCTGTAATAGCCTGCTAGTCCCAAAAATGCTCTTACTTGCTTGATCGTGGTTGGTACAGGCCAGTCTAGGACAGAGTTAACTTTTTCAGGGTCAGGTCTTACACCACGACGATCAACTACATGTCCCAGAAACTTGACCTCAGACTGCAGCAGTTTACATTTATCAGAACGGAGCTTTAATCCATGTCGCCACAACCGGTTGAAGACCTCATCTAGGTGCTGTAGGTGAGAGGAAAAGTCAGGTGAATAGATGATTATGTCATCCAAATAGACGAGCAAAGACTCCGCAATTTGACCACTTAGACACTGTTGCATAAGTCTTTGAAACGTTGCGGGAGCGTTACAAAGGCCAAACGGCATGCGCTCAAATTCAAACAGCCCTAGTGGAGTAGTAAAAGCAGTCTTTTCTTGATCCTGTGGGTGCATCTCAACCTGCCAGTAGCCACTGGCGAGGTCAAGGGTGGTAAACCACTCTGCTCGGCTCAAACTGGTCAGAGTCTCTTCTATCCTTGGCAGTGGGAATGCGTCCTTGTGTGTTACTGCATTTAGCTTTCTGTAGTCAACACAAAACCGTAAACTCCCATCTTTCTTCCGCACCAAAACTATGGGTGCTGCCCAAGGGCTACAGCTCTCTTTGATGACTCCCTTCTCCAACATACCTGCTAACAGGGACTTCACCTCTTTGTAGAGCGAGGGTGGAAGCGGTCTGTACCTTTCTCTGGTAGGCGCAGAATCACCCGTGTGGATGCGATGTTGTACTGCGTTGGTCCGGCCGAAGTCCTCATCGTGCTTTGCGAAGACCTTCTCCCATTTTTGCAAAAGCGCACCAAGCTCTTCCTGCTGCTGCTCAGACAAGTCAGTTCGGTTAGATAGGTTTCTCACCTCCTCGGGGAGGCCATGTTGTCCAGGGTCAGATGTGGTGTGGACCAGGGCCACTTCAACCACCCCATCTTCCTCCAGAGACAGGCTCACATCGTCAGGACCGTGCACATCAGCAGAATCAATTTGGTAAAGGCGTCCAAGTTTCTGATAGCGGCCTATTGTCCAGCTGTAAGGATGTGGGTTACAGACACGTATTGGGATTCTGCCGTTTCTTACCACTCCGATGGTTCGGGCCACACCCACTTCGCCAGCATTCGGCAGTGCCTCGACCAGGGCACAGTAGTCTGCGCCGTCAGGGCCCATCCGGGTTTTACCCCACACAAGCAGCTCGCTGTTAGGAGGGACAGTGAAGGCCCGCCCACCAGACAGCCGCACGTGCCCTAGGAACCCATCCTCAGCTACAGTAGCTTCAACGCGGCGACAGGTGGCGAAGGCATCTCGCCAGGGCTTCCCAAGTTTCTGTGGAGGAAGGGCAGACTTTCCGGGCCATTTAAAGAATGCATCCCAACAAGCCATCACAACATTCATTCCAACAATAAGGGGATGTGTACAATCCTCATCTCTTACAATCACTACTCCACGTCCAGGAATCTGTGTCCCTTCGACTGCCAAGTCAAGCACGGCATACCCAATATACGGGATCTCCAGACCATTAGCTGCTCTCAATTTAAACAGTACAGGTGTCCTTCCAAGCTTAGCCTGGGTAAAATGTTCATTGAACACACTCTCGGCCATTAAAGTTACTTGTGACCCTGTATCTAGCAGCCCTTCCAATTCAACTCGTTCAGCAGTGATTTTTATTGTTGGACATTGGCCTATGAATGTCTCTGTGGCCCTCGTCTGTGCTGTTGGACCAGCCACCCCTGCCGAACGGACCTCAGCGGCAGGGACATCTAGTTTAAAGCTGGCCCTGAGGCAGATGTCGTCCGACAGTATCTGGCTAAATGTCCAGCTTTATTGCACAGTCGACAAATGGGCCTACCTCGTTCATCCCGTTGGTTGCGTGGGGGTGATCGGTAGTAGCTCCGGGGTGTTACTGGCGGCTCTGCGGCGGTTGCAACCGGTGACAAGTGAGGTTTGAGCTCCCTTATTAGTTCCTGTGCCAATCCCTTCATCTCAGCCTTCACTTCCTCCATTATGTCACGCTTGAGGGTCTCCTTCCAGTCCGAATATGGTTCCTTTGAAAAACTAGACTTATTATTGACAATGGAGCACGTTACCTCTGATGCAGAGCTGCCATATTCAGAGTCCAACAACAGCGCCTCCTCTCGCAGCGCTGCAAAATCTGCATCTGGAAGCCGACGAGCATACACTTTTAGCGCCTGTGCCATTGGTCCTTCACGCAGTCCTAGAAGCAGCTGATCTCTCAGGGCTGCCTCGGAGGGGGGGTCGTCGTGCCGCCGTAGCCTGCAATACAACTCACGGAGACGTAAAACAAAAGACTGGACCGTTTCACCCGGTTTTTGAGCACAACAAAAAAATTGTGACCTAACAACAGATGTCGGGGTTTGGTCACCATAGAGGGAGCAAAGATACGCAAAAATTTTCCGAGCTGTGTCTTTTTCGTCATCCTCTAGGACACTGACTTGACGCTTGGCTTCACCGGCTAATGCTCCCAACACAATAGCAACCCTTCTAGGCTCAGTTAGCTCTTGAGACCCCAACAACCCTTCCATTTGTTCTTTCCAATCACAGAGTTTTAAGTCATCCCCTGGCCCTTTAAACTTAGGGAGCCAGGGGGCACCAGGATATACTGGCATCATCATGGCTCCTTTCTCCCTGGCAAACAAGTGTGCTCGAGACCCAGATCCTGCCAGCAACGCCAAATTATGTAACGAGGGGGGGCTATGGAGGTGTTTGGAAGCGGAATGAAATTTGACCGGAAAAATAACTATTGCAAAAAAAAGAGATTGAGTGACCGGGTGAGAGCACACTTGTCTACCAAGGAGGACAAAAAGGTCGTGGCAAGTTATTAAAATTTAATACAAGGAATAATTAAAACAGTAAAAAAATGCCCACAAATAAAAACACTGTTAAAAGTCCATCAAAAACAAGGTGGGCTAAAAAAAGGTTAACACTACTAAAAGGCACGGTCCACAGTCAGGTGCAGGCAAGTCCCACTCCCTCCTGGTCCAGGGCAGCACTCCAACCTGGGTCACACGCACCGGGCCACACACAAGGCAGAGTTATCCTCTGCCCCTGCGTGTGTTCAGCGTCACAACACTCCTTCACTTAGTCTCGACTCCTCCCCTCTGGCTCTCGTCCTCCGCACGCTGAGACACCTACGCGGAAATCACTAGCGGCAGTCAAACGTTCTAAACAGTGATGTGCTCGATCTAACTTTATCCGACAAGTGTTACTATGTTCCCAAAAGGTACTTACACGGAAGGCAGAGTTCCCCTCTGCCTCTGCGTGTATATCGCCTCGCAACACTTGCGGTCTCAGCGTGCTGTAGTCCCGATGCGTGTGCCGTTCTGCTCGTCCTGCTTGTGGTGGGGTGCCGCGGCTTTCCTGCTCCTGCTCCTGCGTGCTTGTTGTCTCTCTGCCTCTCTCTGTGTCTGTCGTGGCTCCTGCGCTCCTTTTATTTGCTCCCATTCCCACCAGACACAGGTGTTTTTGATTGTCCCGCAGCAGGGATTGGGGTAAAAGCCATGTGATAAAAACATGTGACTATAGCGAGTCCTTAAAACTATAAATAAGGTTAAAATACACTGCAAGATAAAAACACAAAACCACAGCACACGATAAAAACAAAAATAAATGCCAAGTCACTTGTTCTTATTCACATCTGCACAGAACCGGGAGGACCAGACGATGCCCAAATACAGGCAACTTTCCCATAGATCTTTGAGAGTTCCAGGCGACTTCCGCTAATCTTTCAGCCCCCATGCCGTCACAAAGCGCCACTGAGCACAACCATTCATTTGAATAGGGCGCCATCTTGGATCGCCGGGGCTTGGGTGGGTCTAGTGATGGCAATATGAAGCCCCATGAAGCCTTGAGGGATCGCAGCCTCTTACTCGGCCCTTGAGTCGAAGGCTCGAGGTGAATCATGCTCCACTACGCCATCATGTGGACAAAGAAATACATAACACTCTTAAGTGCTTACAATGAATGGTGAGATCTAATGTTAAAATGTATATTTACAATCTATGGTCTAACGTGTTGTGTTTGAAATGATGCTTCATGAACTATGAACTATTTGAGTCTTTCAGTCAATTGTGTTGATACAACAAACACATCCAAAGTAATACAGTTCTACAGAAAGTGATTAATGGAGGAAAAACTACCAAGAGGTGGATTAATTAAACACAACAAACCATTTATTCCCAATAAATAAATACATTTACATTGCAACACAAAATGTATTATGGGTAGACCAGGATTCGAACGCTATATCTTCTGCTTCGGAGTCCGTCATATACCGACTGCGCCACACAGCTGGCCAGCCGCGTATAGTGGGTATATCGTGCCAGCCAATCAGAATGAGCCTGTCAGCCACGTGCCTTTGTGATGAAGTCCAACCAATCAAAATGCAGGGATATTTACAGACGCGAGTTCGAAACCCGTCTCACCCCAAATAAATCAAACTTATTTTAAAGTTTAAAGTTAATAACTGGATCTCATTTTGACCTTAATAACAGCCACATTACCTTTAAAGTACATAAATGTAACTATTAGAGAGCTTCTTTGAAATGTAAAACTTGAAATGATCAGTGAATTGACAGTAATATTAACAGCAATGTCATGAAACCTTTTGACCTGCACAAAGTGTGAGTGTTTGAAGATCACAGAGGCTTATCCCCAAAGGCCTCACACACAGGTTAAAGGTCACACCTCCTCAGGATGGGAAAAGTGTTGATCAAGGGATTTAGACAAACACACCTGGAATATCCCAGAGGTGAGAACTCTGCAGGGGGTGCTTTGAACAAGTTCAACAATAACTGCTTTGATCACACTGACACTGAACTGAAACTCTATTTTCTATACAGATTGTTTTGTTAAATACTACTGTTGTTTGCCCTGAAATATGATCAATAAAAAAGACTTCAATAATGTATGACATTATAATATATTTATTGTGAACAGATGAAAAAGAGATATTTACAAAGTATATATTTACATAATTAGAATATTTATAAACATTTATGAACAGACAGGTATAATATAGTAACTATATACAATAGCACCAATATACACCTTTCCCTCTCCCGGTCATAAAAAGGAAACTGCTGGAACTGGACCCAGCTCATCTGCGTCTCCATCCCCTGGTCCTTGTACAGGGAGAATACTTTGGCAGGGCAGTAGATGTATTTCCCTGACAGACCAGGGAACTGTGTATGAATGTGAGGACTGTTTGGTCCCTGCTTCAGCTGCAGTTTGCAGAACCCACACTTTCTCCCAGTGGCAGGAGACTCATCTCTCTTCCTTTTCTTCTCCTGCAGCTCATTCACTCTCTGCTGCGTGGCCTCCAGCTGTCTCTGGTAGAACTCAGTGTCCATAAAGTCTCGGAATGGCATCCTGGAGTTGGTCAAACCCTCTGTGCGATAGGTGTTATAGACCTTGGTGGAGCAGTAGAAATACCTGGTAGGACCCTGCTGGTAAAAGTCGTGGATGGAGCTGCCATCGCCCTCATATTTGGATTTTGGCTGGCCACAAGACAGGCATTTCTTTGTGTGGGGTTTATTTGCTGGAGGCTGCTGCTGCCTTTCCAAGATCCGCTGCACAACCTTCTCTATGGCCTCCTCAGACAGCGGTGACATGAGAGTCTGAGCAGGAGGAGGGGGGTTCACTGCTGCAAGGGGCATGGTGACAACAGGCACTGTGCTGGTCTTACTGCCTGCTGTGAGCGATGTACTCCCCCAGCACTTCAGCCTTGTCTGAGGCATCACCTCCTCTCCCTCCCACCAGAGTGAGGGCGTTCTCCCTCACCACCTCCTCCCTCTGAGGAGCACCGCACTCCCTCACGGACGGGTCGTCCCTGATCTTCCTCGCCTCCTCCGAAGGGTCCTGCAGCAGGAATCCACGTGGGCCCTTGTGAAAAATCACAGTGACGCGGCCAGGAAAGAATGAAAATGTCTTCATATTGTCTGCAACAACAAAGAAAGATCATAAAATATCTAGCTATAGCATGATAGAGAAGTATGTATAACGTATATATCTTTAGCATAATAAAGAAGCATGAATCCTGTATAATCTAGAGAAGACATATACAGTTGTATGTTTACATCTGGACATTAGCAGCATGACGCTCTGGGATACAGTAAGTACAGTCATAGAAGGAAAATATGAACTGGTAAAACACTAATACATTGTCGTAAACTTTTTTTTTTCATTTTCTACCCTTTAATCCATTTCTGGGTCAGGGGGGTGGCAGTCAGAGATGCCACCCAAGTCTCATAGCACCAGCCCCTCACTGACCCTCTGCAGGTGGTGAGTCCACAGGAGGACGGCTGCTCTCTGACTGTGAGCATAGCCTTGATCTTTCAGCGGGGGCTTTGGGCAAAGTGGGGTTAAGTGTCTTGCCCAAGGACACAACGACAGCAGTCATCAGTGGGAGTCGGTGGAGAAGGTGCAGAGGTGGGATTGTCGTAAACTAACTGCATATAATTCATTTTCAACTCAATGTGTTGCTGAACTATAGAAATGTGAAATACATATAGATAGTACACACATCAACAATAAGCATACTGTACACTACAGTACAACAGATGGAGCAAACTGTATTATACACTTATTTTGGCATCATGTGACTAACAGTACTATGCCTGTCACACATTATTAGCCATAAATCACGTTTATGAGACAATAGTAAGTGAACAGAGAAAGAGCAGTGACAACACTGAGCCAAACTCACAGCAGCACTTATACACAGCCTGTTACAACAACTATGTGCATTAAACTTATTAAAAGTGCATTTGATCTGTATACAGTGTGCTTTAGCTCACGTGTGTACATCCCAAAACACTGCGTTAGCTAGCGCGGGAAATACTACTACAACCAGACGTAAACAAACTGCATTACTGTATACAGTAGAATACAGTGAATACAGATTGTTTGACAACGCAGAGAAAGTGTTTTCTTTACAATATTGATCCAAACAGAGAGATCTACGAGCAGCAGCAACAACAAACATATGACACGGAGGTAAACAATCATAAACAGCGCACTACACACTCGAGATTTAAACTACAGACGTGTGTGAACGATCTACGCACAATATGAGAGATTTATGGAGTGAAACATAAAGAACGAGCACAAAAACATTGTGTTTATCAGAGGAGACTTACCGATTGCGTGTGTAATTCAGAATGAATGGAGAAAGCCGGCT